CGCTCTTCCTGGTGATCAAACGCCCTTAAAAACTGACGTCTCCAAGGTCCCTGCGCACGAGTGTTCCCAGTAGCACTGTTCCCGGCAGCCAAGTGTCCCTGGCAGAGGGCGGGACACACAAGATGTGGGCTGGTCGTGCCGCGGAATAGTGTCCAGTCATGAGAGGAAGGGAGCCCCGCCCCAGGCTACAGCGGGGACGGACCTTGGGGAAATCACGCTGAGGCCACTTTCAATCACCTTTGGGGTCTCAGTGAGATGAGCCCAGCAGAGGAGGACAGAACCTGCGGGAACCAGCCCTGTGAAACAGGAGGTGGAGTGGAGGCTGCCCAGGCCGGGAGGTCGTGTGCAGTGGTGCAGAGTAATGGGCTGGGTCCTCAAGGTGGGGAGGCCTTGTTGCTGTCCCATGCGGCCGAGGCTGGAGGGGCTGTTTGCAGGGGACACGGCTCGCCTACGCCCAGGGCTGCCCAGGCCACGGAGCAGCCTCCCTGCCATGGGGTGGGCACCGGGCTGCGACTGAGTCACGACACAGGGGAGAGCCTGTCGGCTCTGGAACTGGGGTCCTGGGTTCCTGGGGCTCCTCCTTCCTGCTCCCGTTCCGTGCGCTGCGCGGCGGCGTCCTCTGGTCTTCTTGACCGACTCGACTTCGTGGGCTTCAGCCTCTCGGTTGCGTTTTGCCAGAGGAACAGCTTGGCCGTCTCTGGGGAGGAGCCGATGGTCGGGTGGACAGAAGCTGGGCTTTCCTCTGACGGGTGCCTGGGCCTGGAAGCGGAGGCCTCTCTGTGCCCTTCCGGGGAGTAGGACTGCAGTGCATGGACAGAGGCCTCCGACGCCCAGGGGCCACCGTGGGGCAGGGGCGCAGGCAGGGGGTGCTGCCACTGAGGCCCTGCTCAGCAGACGGGCCTGAGCTGCTGTTGCCCAGCGCTGTCCGGAGAGCCGGCCTTGGGGCAGGGTCTCTCCTGGGCAGGTGGGGAGCCCCAGCAGCGAGTGCAGCGGGTACTCTGTGTCGCCTTTTGAGGGGACCAGAGACCCCCGGGGACAGGCGGAATAACCCCAGCTCCCGAGTCCTCTGGGGTTTCTGCCGCCTCCAGGCCGCTGGTGCGGGTGGCGGCTTCGCTGGCTCCCAGCCGAGGGCCTGGGACCGCAGCCAGCCCGTGGGCCCTGCGCCGGCCCTGCAGGCATGCGGGCTGGAAAGTCCCTGGCTGCACCCGGGGAACTCAGGAAAGTCCCTGGGGGTTGGTCACGTGGGAGACGGGCACTGCTCTGGGTCTCTCCGTGCAGCCTTTGACATCGGGTAAACCTCTCTCTAGCTGGGGTGAGACCCCACCTCGGGGCGCGGGGCAGCCACCTTGCTGCGGCGGTGGCCCCGCTCCCAGCCCGGAGCCAACACGTTTGCCCTTTGGGTTGCTCAAAATTGGGGCAGTGCTGGGAGGTTCTGAGGCTGCGGCTGAGCTCCTGAGTGTGGAGAGGTGGGGCATATTCCTGGTCAGCTTTGAATAAGTGTTTCCTTTGCAACCATGTCTAGTATTTTCTAAAAACTCAGTGAATTACGACTCCAGTTCAGTTAGAAGGCGTTAGGAGTGGCTGCCAAGTACACATGGCAGCCCTGGGGACTGCTTTTCTGGAAGCAAGAAGCAGGGGCTGCGTGGAAGGAACAGCAGGGAGGAGGGGCCTCGGGCTTCAGAGGAGGGGTCCGGGTGGACCTGAGGGAGGACCAGCTTAGGGGGACATTTTGCAGCTGAAAGGTGAGCAGAGTTGGACGTGCTCACGTGTCAGGGAATCCAAAGTTGAAATGCCTGAGCGTCTAGCTTGAACTCTGGTTGAACGCGTGTTGATTCCCTGAGCCATCTGGTGGCAGTGGGAGCCCGCGGAACCTGTACCAGCCTGTGAGGGCGCTGCTGCTCCTGCGCCAGGTGCGGGCTTCGGGGGCTCTGAATCCCAGGGGCGCCCGCTGAGCGGCGAGCCGTGTGGGACCGGGGGCTCACCCTCGAGCATATTCGTTTGCTCTGATCAGATACAAGTGCCCTCTGGGTGCTGTCGTTTTTGTTTCACGAGCACGGTTGTTTCCGAGGCTCCCCTGTGGCTCGGTGTGATTGTTCGGGCTGTGCTCAGTGTGGCTACACCAGGGCCCTGTCTGGGGAAGCTAGGGTTTCCCTGGCGGTCGAGGGAAGCTCCTCCCGGGCGTGGCTGCCGTGGAGCCTTTGAGGAGCTGTCGCCAGAGCAGGAGCCCTCGGGGAAGGTGTCCCCTCTGCTCTGCTCTCTGTACCTAGTGGCGTCCTGCCCACCCGCACAGCCGGTCTGTGTCCTGGGGCCGGGCCTCTGCGGCAGCGTCCACAGAGCCCCGTCGGGTTGAGTGGGGTCACTGGGGAGGCTTGCTGAGAAGGCCAAGTTCCATCTGACGTGTGTCCCTGCGGGAGACGTGGAGCCCGGGGTCCTGTGAGGAGGCGGGACTGCCACGGCACCACATCTGAAGTCTCCGCAGCCCGGCCGCTGGGAGGGCACCACATGTGCCGTGTCTCTGGGGTTCACCTCGCACCACTTTTCACTCCCCAGATGGTGAGCTTTGGCCCCGGCAGCCAAGCCTGCTGCATGGGGTGGAGACTCGGCCGGCCTGTTCGCTCGGCCTCGGACTGTGGGCCACGTGGAGACAGAGCCTACGTGAGGCTCCTCCTTCCTCAAGGTCACTGCGGCGGAGCTCTGCGAGCTCTGCGGGGGCCCTGAGCTGCCCCAGCTTGTCAGGCGCCCAACCTGAATCTTGGTGGAGGTGCTGACCCCACGGCGTGGATGTGCTCGGTGCCCAGGCACCAGGGGTCGATTTTGTGTGATGCGTACTTGACCAGTTTTTAAAAAGCAACAGCAAACAAACCGTCATCTCCCGTTCTCTGCTTACCGGCCCACCCTCTGTGCCCCTTCCCAGCCGGCGTTTCCTGAGAGCTGCGCACAGCTTCCATCTGTCCCCTAGGCTTGCGGCCCTGTTTCCGGGTCCCACCCTTTCTCACCTCTTCAGCCGCTGCCACGTCCGCTCAGCCCGCTGCCGCGGCCCCCCAAGTGCTGCGCTGCTCAGGGCCATGCCTGTCCAGGTCGGGCCCTCCCTGTGCTGCTGGCTTTACTGGGTCCCGCCTGGGCCCTGCCTGACCCTTCGGAAGCCCAGACTGGGCCCCTGCCTCCGTGGCCACGTCACCCTGCACGTCCTCAGCTCCAGGAGGGCGGGGATGGGGACTCTCAGCCTGGGCGTTGGGACGGGTGGGCGCCTGCGTTTCCGTCCGCTTCTCGCTCTGGTCCCCACGGCATCACTTCTCTGCTCTCTGTCCACTTAGAACCTGTTCCCGCAGCCCCTCTCATTGTCCCCTTTGTGTCCCGAGGGCGGGGTGCTGCCGGCTGGATCTGGGTCCTGATCTCTGCGCTGGAACAGGGGTAGTGGAGTGAACGCGGTGGCCCCCATGGCCTAGCGCCGAGAACGAACCTGGACCGGTCTGCGGCCGGCGGGGCAGTGGCCCAGAACCCCACGGGCACTCCGCCGACGCCTCGCTCCCTTCGTTGCCAGAGCTGCCACGAAGGACACTGCCCGTTCGTGCTGACCGAGTGCCCAGCGTGTAAAGGCCTGGTGCGCCTGGGCGAGAAGGAACACCACCTGGAGCACGCGTGCCCGGAGCGAAGCCTCAGCTGCCGGCACTGCAGGGCGCTCTGCTGCTCAGCTGACATGAAGGTGAGCGCATGCCCGGCGGCTCGGAGGCTCCTGGCAGCCCCGGGTCGGGGGCGAGCTCGCACGGGGGGACGGCAGCCTGCGGCCACGCCACCCTCGCTCTCGCTCGGCCAGCAGCCTCCCTGGGTTCACGCTGAACAGGCCCCGAACGCCGTGTGGCTTTATCTGGAAGTTGTCGCTTGTTTGTGAAGGGCGGGCCACCTTCCCGTGGGTTATACCACATCTGGAGCTTCACAGGCTTCCTGAGGTCACGAGTGAGCTCGGTGCCCACGTTTCCGGAGTCTGTCCGTGTGGGTCACGTGGATCTGCTGGGTCGGGACCCAGACGCCCCCCTGCTGTCTGCGGGTCTCTTCACCTTCAGCCTTTCCCTGTAGGTGTCTTTTTCTCTCTGCCGTTTGTTTGTTGGAGAAGCCGGCTGTTAGTCTGCATTTGGCTGGTCGGGTCCCTGAGGTGTTTTTCACGCCCGGGAAGCTCAGCTCGAGGCAGCCCAGGGCCCGAGACTTCGGGGCGCCCACCCTGCGCATCTCGCCGGGGGTCTCGGAGGTGCTCTGGCCGCTTGGGTCCCCCGCCACCAGGAAGTCCGCCAGCCTGGCACCCGGGTGGCGGTGCCCTCGGGGCGCCGGGGCTCTCCTCGGGGTGTTGCCCCAGCGGCTGCCGGTCGAGGGCAGGTCCTGAAGCTGCAGGCCCCCGTGTCGCATGCCGTCTCAGCCTCGGGGCTCGGGGGCGTTGCTGGCCCGGCCGCAGCTCTGACGGCTGCCCCGTCCGCCCCAGGCGCACCACCAGGTCTGCCCCAAGCTCCCCCTGGCCTGCGAGGGCTGCGGCAAGAAGAAGATCACACGCGAGAAGGTAAGCGCTCCCCCGGCGCCTGCGAGGCCAGGCCACACCTCGGCCCGGGGGCGGGGTTCCCGGGGGCGGGGTTCCCGGGGGCGGGGTTCCCGGGGGCGGGGTTCCCGGGGGCGGGGTCGCAGGCTCCTCCTCTTCCTGCCCC